CGAGTGGCCGTGGCCACCGGTAGGGTCCAACGCTGCTTATGCAAATCAGATGAACGAGATGAGGGATAAGCGAGCGCTCTCGGGCTGTTGTCCTCTTCGGCGTCCTGGGTCGACCTCGCTGTGTGGCTTGGACCTTCCAGTACGCTAGTTTAAACGTGTTTAAACGTACTTGAACCGAAAAGGTGATGGGTTATCCGGTGTCGTCCGGATACAAGTCAAGCGTGGAGCACCACAGAACCAAAAGCGCGACGACGAAGCGACGACCGATCGATGGGGCAGAGCCCATGGGAGATGATGATGCTTATGTGTGGAGAGATGGAGTGTGTGATGAAGGTGCTCAGGAAGCTTCTTCTGCTGCGTGTGCGTCGATAGTTCTGCGGCGCCTCTGGCAATGCGGACTCGGTCACCGGTTGTTTTGGCGAGCAACCGTCATGGCGCGTGTTGCCCTGAATCTTGATGGTCACGCTGCAGTACGCGTGCTCATTGTAAGTGGGCAACGATATTGTATTCTCCAAGAATATAGGTGGCGACGACCTAGCTTCCTCGTCGATCACAAAGGCTCTTGGTACAGGGTGAGGGCTGGTCCGCGTCAGCGAAACTGCGCCGACCTCGCCCATGGTCGGCGACAGCATTTCCGCGGCCCGTAGTACTTCGTTTCGTGGCGCCTGCGTCTGCAGACTTCCATGGGTCTGGCGGCTCGCGCCACGCTGCATTTGTCTGTGACTGCCGGCGCACCGTCGCGGCGGCTTCGTTTGCGAGCACCTTTGTCCTGCCATGTGCATGATCCATTCCATTATCTTTAGTAATCTGATCCCACACGCTCCATTGCATACTAGTGATAGACATTGCAGTTCATACTAGGAAGGTTGCCACGCGCTTTCTTTCGTAGGAGAGACCCTCGCCGACGTCCATGGCGGTATCGGACGGCCTCGTTCGTCCCTGAGCGGCAACAAGATCGGGGTCAACAGTTGGCTTCAGCGCCAAGCAACGCGGGAAGGTGGCGCGCGAGAAGGAGAAGCAGTGCGAGAAGGTGACCCTGGACGACAGCGTGGTCGAGGAGCCGCACCGTCGACGCCAACGTTTTCCGCATGATCAAGGAGGAAGAAGACAATGCTGGCGCCAGCAATCACCGTGTACTGTCGCCACACACCGCCAACGTCGCAATATCAGTGTGTTTTGTGTTTCTAGTATTTCTTTGTGGTGTGTTCTTTGCGGCCGCAGTCGACTCCCGGCCCTAAGTCGTGGACTCGATCCTGCGTTGACGTTGCTAGTCCACGGGAGCTCGGGTAGGAGCATGCAGTCGGTAGCTTGCACGCAGCGCTTTGCAGTCCTATCGCGATCTTGGATCTGCCGCCACAACGCGCCACGTCATAGGATGTAACTGTCAGTTAAAACGACCATTGAGATCCCAATGGACGCGGCCGCCACGAAGCTGCAGTGCATGTACCGGGCGCGCCTCGCGCGCCGGGTGGCCCGCGCCCAGCTGCAAACGATCGTTCAGCGCTACTACGACGCCGACTCGGGTACGCGCCCTTCTGTTTGCCTCAAGCGCATTAGCGTCGCTTGTCAACTAGGTCTGTATTACTACTACAATGCGATCACGCAAGCGAGCTCGTGGGTCAAGCCCAAGCTGCTTGGCAGCGACGACGCACCGCTCGGCGCGGTCAGCCACGGTCGGTTCTCCGGCGCGTATCTTTAGCGCACTGTCGATGGCAATTAGATTCCTCGACAGCCATGAACGAGCACGAACGTGCAACAGCCCATGACGCCGACGAGTCGACGGACGCTGCACCAACGGAGAGCAAACCCGCCGAGGACGCACTGCCGAGTGAGCCTGCGCTTATTGCGGAGCAACCGCCGATCGAAAGCGAGACGCACCGAGAGCGAGACGGTGGTGCGAGAGCCTTCCTCGGTCGTGGTGTGACGGAGTGCGTGATGGGACTTGGAGTAGCACCGACGGGCTCCGAGGTCGTGGCCATGACAGAGACCCCAGCGAACGCAGCCACGTCGACGGACGACGAGCGCCGCAAGTCGCAGCACTTGAACGCGCGTGCAGCCAACCCGTACTCGGCGGACGAGCTGCGTATGATTGAAGAGCAGTTCCGCAAGGTACGTTCGACGCCGTAGTGCACGCAAGCACAACTGCCTAGTTTGACACGGACGGCAGCGGCGAGATTGGTCTGGACGAGCTCCAGGCCATGCTGCATTCGTTTGGCGACATGGCGACCAAGGACGACGTCCAAAGTTGGTCGATTCATCAAGGCCAATCAGTCTACTATAGTCGTCCTAGCGCTTATGGACACGGTGGGCATTGCCACGAACCACATCAACTTGTCGCAGTTCATGGCCATGCTTCACCACCAGCGCGAGCACGATACGTACTGTCCGTCGATTGAGCTCGCGCTCATGTTTGGTCCTGACGAAATCGCGAATTTGCGCTCGCAGTTTCAAGCCGTTTGCAATAGTTCAACGTAGACACTGTACTAAAATAACGAGCTAGATCGACGCCGACGCCAGCGGCGAGATTGACGAGCACGAGCTCGCGACACTCATGAAGAACCTCGGGCAAAACCCGCTCGGCATGGACCTCAAGGCCATCATCCACGAAGTCGATCGCGACGGCAACGGCACCATCAACTTCAACGAGGTATATACACTTTTGGTGACAATCCCGTATCCGAATGTTCTAGTTTTGTCATATTGTGTACAACATGCGCAATCAATCCAAGACAAGTTGTCCACTTTCGTAAAACGGCCGAGTGCGATCCCCTGTCCGTAGAATTTGCGACGCTGCTGGCCCTGGGCGTGGCCAGAGGCCTTCTCACCGACCTCGGCGACGTCCACTTCAGCTACGCGATCGGGAAGAGCTCACGCGGTAGTAGGTCCTCGCCGCCACAAAGAACAAGGTGTCCATGTGGTGGTATTGCTCTTTATTCAATACGACAATATTCTCCACGTTTTGAATCTAGGAATGCCAATCGGCTGGCCGAAGAGAAGCGGTTGCGGGCCAAACGCGAGCGCGAGCTCGAGATCGAACGTCGGCGCCGTGAAGCGTACTCCTTTCGACTAAAGCCATCTCCAGTCACCATGACTCTCCGGGTTAGGGAAGCCCGCGAACAGCAAATCTACCAAGACGAACTCGACCGCCTTGACGCGCTCGAGCGCGAGCGTCTCACAATGGTGCCCGGTCTGCGCCACGAGGTGCTGCTCGAAGGGTAATGCTAGCTCGAGGACCCTATCCCTACAGGACAAACATGTAGCGACAAAGAAAATTACCCGAACCGCGGCCAGTACGCCCGCGTGCACTACGTTGGCGCGGTACCCGCCTCCACAATAGTATCAATGTATCGAATTCACGTAGTTTGAGAACGGCAAAGTCTTCGAGTCGTCGCGGACCCGGGGCGGGGCCCTCGAGTTCAAAGTTGGCTGTGGCCACGTCATTGAAGGTACACATCGACTGTGTAAAATCACACTTCGAAAGTCGCGCAGGGTGGGACGTGGCGCTGCTTCGCATGAGTGTGGGCGAGACCGCGCGTGTTACGTGTGCGCCCAAGCTCGCGTACGGCGTCAAAGGTACGACCATTTTGTGAAAATGTACAAAAATGAAATGTGAGAATCGATACACTAACCACAAACTAGGTCGGCCGCCCAAGATCCCCGGCAACGCAACACTCGTCTTTACGATCGAGCTCATCGCAATCAAGGAAAAGGTCGTTCGCAGCGGCGACGACGACGGCAGCGACGACGACAGTTGATGCTCTACGACGCAAACAACGACTGCTGTTGCTGCTGCTGTTGCTGTTGTTGTTGCTGCTGCTGGCTCCAGTAGTACATGAGTGCTTGTTCTTGGAGCTTCCCAAGGCCGCCAACGCATTTCGCCAAGAAGAACACGGCCCCCGGCGACTAGATAACAGTAGTGTGAGCCGCTGACAACAGCACCATCGAAGCGTACGTATTGCATGGCCGTCTCGAGGCTCGATGCCACGGCAGGACTGTTGCAGAGTGGAAAGTCCGAGAGCGGGCTGAAGAGCACTTGCGTCTGCGACATGTTGTCGGTCGACTCCTTGTAGAAGCCCACCTACGCCTCTCCCATGAGCATCCTACATAGTGCGAACGCGACGTACGAGTTGCTGGAACTGGTTGAAGGCGGGCAGTCCCATCTTTTGACCCTAACCCCACCCAGATTGAGTGATCTATCTCCAAAGAGGCAAGGACGTACGTGCATGTCGACTTGCATCTGCGCGAGGATCAACGACACGTACTGCTCGTCACTCGGCGGCGTCGAGCCCGCAAAGAGCGATGTCGTGGCAGCCGCCGAGGACGTGGCCGCCATGTTGAGCGTGTTGAAGGACCAGTCGGTCGCGTCGGTCTCGGTCGTTGGCGTCTACAGACCAGTCTCAGAACACATATTGACACAAGATGGCGTACGCTCATGAGGCCGTCCATCGTGAGGTCCGTCATCATCATGTCGGTGGCCTCGCGCGTCTCGGGCTCGGGCTCGCGCTCCGTCTGGAGGAAGATGTTTTCGGTCTTGAGAACTGCGTTCGTGTTGACGTTCGGGTTGACGTTCGGGTTGACGTTCGTGCTGGACGATGGCGTGTAGGCCTGCTGCGACGACGGCGTGTACGCTTGCATGTTGTTGTAGCTCATGCTGGCGGCGTTCGTCGGCGTGTACGCGGCGGCTGCGGCGACAGCGGCGGCTTGGTACGCGGCGGCGACTGTCGCCGGGTTGTAGGCCGCGTGCGACGGCGTGTACACCATGTTGGCGTGCGACGGCGTGAACTGCTGCGTATGGTGCTGCGGCGTGTAGTTGGACGGCGTGTACGGGCCATACATCTGCTTGTCGTTCGTGAGCGTTGGGCGTGGAAGGAGCGTGGTGGTACCTGGGCCTGCGGCGTCGCGGCCGCCCGGCGCGCCTGCTGGTGCTTGACAAAGCCGCAGTTGGGCGCGTGCTCGCCCGTCTTGGTCGCGTCCGAGAAGCGCTGGCAGCTCACGCAGCGGTACAGCGGCGCCTGGTGGTTGGTCGTGCCGTCGCCATGGATCTCATAGCCGATAAGCTTCCACTCTTGCATGGTGTCGGTCCACGTCATGCGCGCTAATAGCCGACAAAATGCCGTTAGTCCCTTTTTCTACCCGACGATGATTCGCGAACGTACGTCGGGGCACGTTGTGGGGCGTGGCGCCTAGGAAAACTTGTCAGTGTCGTCTTTGAAAACGAGGATACGGCGTACGGCGCGAGCCCGGCGTGTACGCGTTGCTGGTCGGCGTTGCGCCGTGCGTCGGCGTCGGGATCATGCGCGGGCGCTGGCACGACGGTGACATGCCTGTCATGCCGCCCATGTTGGACGGTGACTTGAGCGAGCCTAGAAAGCGGTGTCGGGTAAGAAAACGCGAGTACGGAAACGGGCGACGTACTCAGTCGGCGCTTGTTGCGCTTGGAGCGAATGGCGACCGGCTGCGTATCGACGGCCGCCAAGTCCTCGTAGACGTTGGACGACTGCGGCGCAATGCGCAGGAGAAAGCAGTGGTTCTGGTGGTTCTTGGACACATCTTCAATGCGGAACTCGAGCTTGACGTGGCCGTTGGTGATGTGCGGTGGCAGGTCCGGGTACAGCTTGAGGATGCTCGCCGCAGTGTTGACGCTGGGCACGGACGCATTCGGGACGGGCTCGCCCGAGTCGTACAGCAGCTGCAGTGTCAACGGAATCTACATGCCATGGTCCGTCATGCTACGAACAAAGGACAGTTGACAAGGTATTACCACGCGGTCAATGACGCTGTGGCCGGGCGCCGCCTGCACGTTGACCTGGACGCAGATCTTCTTGTCCTTCCCGCCCTCGTCCTTGAACCAGACGTCGGGCGGTTGCTCCGAAACAACGAGCTTTTCCTGTTGCAAGTGGTGTCGGCATGGCATCGAGATGGCCTCGCAGCTACCTTGACGATCGAGAAGGGCGACGTGAGCGTCGAGAGCGACGTGCAATCTGTCGACGGCACGAAGCAGCGGAGGCACATGTTGCGGAGCACGTGCTGGAGCGAGAAGCGGAAGGTGCACGTCTCGGAGGTAAAGACGAGGGGCGTCGTCGGGTCAATCGTCTAGGTACACAGCGTAGCACCGACGCTTCTACATACAGAGTGGGCGTACGAGATGCGACGACGTCTCGGTCGTGAGCTTCGTGTCTTCGTGCACGAGCGCGACTTGGAACGGCAGCGAGAGCGCGCCGCTGGAAGATAGCATCCGCATCATGAGCCCATTGCAGGCGCAGGCGAACGAGAATGACGTACTCGCTTTGCTTGGGCACTAGGTCGTAGTGCTCGATCACGAGCGTGCACTCGATGAACTCGTCGACGAAGGCGAAGCGGGGCATCGGCGCCTGCGCAACGAGGACGGGCTACATACGTACGTTGCATGAGCCGACTTGGCAGGGCGCGAGGATGGCTCCAGTACCTTGGCGCCCTTGGGCGTGGACCCGGCGCGCGTCTCGTCCATCATCGGTGCACCCATGGTCGCGATCTGGCAGTCGGCTGGAGGATGACGGAATAGGCCTCCGAGATGGCCCAAGCAGTGGCAACCCTCTGCTGTCTGGATACCTAGTGGAATCGCACCAATCAGCGCACGGTATAATGGCGAGACATTCCTTGTATATCCTATACTCTCTTTGTATTTAGGGAAGTGATCGGCAGGTAGTCTTGATTTGTATGCTGCGAATGAGGCCTACAAACGTCGCAAACAAGGAGTACCCCGGATACTCTCTTGAATACAAGTCTTGGTCGTTGTATGGAAAGCATGCCGTCGGTAATGACTTGCGAAGCCAAAAGGAACGCGGCGTAACGCGCGCGACCGCCCACGCGGCCCCTTCGAATCAGCCGACGACGCCGTCCAGCGACTAACTAAGTACATTTTTCACTTTATATATTTTGACTATGCGTAGACTACTACGTCATCTCGGGGTGACCAATATCGCAATGTGCTTTGCAACGCTAGCTTGCAACGCTCTGAATTCAGCGGCAAGGTTCTCACTGCACGGCGCTTTTCACGTTTCAATTCAACGACCAACTAAACGCCGGCACGCTCATACTAACGTTACTGAGTTAGTACACACGATTGAACCAAGCGCCGAGGACAAAGCTATAACAGAATCATGTCGCGCGTCGTGCTAAGGTCCTTGCCACAACCTGGATAGACGTGGGGACGTCATCCGACCGATCCACCGCCAACGAAGCGGCGTGGACTAGTGCTGATTCTGAGGCCACCACCCGAGAATGACGAAGAGCTCTCTCCAAGCAAGCGTCGTACACGGAGAGGAAGGAAAGGACGACCAAACCGGAATCGAGATGCTGTCACCCAAGAGTGCAGCGAGTTAAAGGTGTCGTATGAAGAGCCATGAAGACTCCGAGGAAAAACTGTGCCCGATCATCTCGATGCGCGCGTTTGATTGGCCGAGCCCGCGTTCGATTTGCACCAATCCCATGCAGTGGCGTGACGCGGCTGGGTTCGGCGGTCCCACGTGCCATTGACGAAGATGCGTGTTGACGTGTTGACGGCCGCACGCAACTGCAGTACCGCGTGCCCTCCTGTTGGCTCGTCATCGCTACACGCGTCGCTGCTAGTTGACGCGCTTGCCTGTCGCCTTGGAGCCGGGTTTTAGACGTGCCGGCGGCGGCGTCTCTGCCGCACGGCTATGGCCCTGAACCCAGGTGCGCATCGTCGATTGCCCCTGCTGCGTTACTTCGGTCCACGGCAAGTGCAGCTACCACCGTCGGTTTGCCAAAGTGGCGAGCCGTTTGTGCGAGGCGAGTCGACCGCCCGCGCCTGCGACGAGGTGTAGACTCGAGAATGTGCCGTAAAACAAGCAAAGTGCATTATTGTCTTCCTGTGCAGCAGCTGCGTCAGGGACGCTTCAAGTGGTGCAAGATCCAAATGGACCAATCAGCGTCGACGTGGCTTTGAATTGGCTATAATTCCGCAATGCCAGCCAATCCATGAGCTGATGTAAAAGATACGCCTGCGGATTGGTGCAAATCCGTTTTGGACGCAAGTTTCGCACGCGAACCGACGCGGGATGGCGGCGACCGCGACAGCCGCGATGCTCGTGCACCGCTACATGTACGGGCTCAAGGGCAGCGTGCGCAGCAACGTGGCTTTCTGCGAGGAGAACACAGTCGTCTTTCCTTGCGGCCACAACCTCGTCGTCCACAACATTGAGACGAAAGAGCAGCAGTTCATCCATGGCATCGAAGGCAACGCGGGCGGAATCACCGCCATGGCCGTCGCTTCGAGCCGCAAGTCCGTTCTCTTGATGTCTAAATTGGTTCTACGCTTGTGGCGTAGGTACGTGGCGGTCGCTGAGCGCAGCGAACATGGGCTTATTCACGTCTACGACCTCACGACGCTTCGCCGAAAGAAGCCCCTGTCGTTTCCCGATTTGGGCTCGGACGTCTACGTACGTGGTCGCTGTCAACCGGAGTTGAAAACATGAATCTCATGTAGGTGAGCCTCGCCTTCTCGGCCGATGGCAAGTACATCATCGCGCAGGGAGGGCACCCCGAATGGAACCTCGTGCTGTGGTCCTGGGAGAAAACCAAAGTCGTCGCGACCGTGCGCTCCGTGTCGCAATACGGCAGGTAGGCAAATGCACCTTTCAACTACGAGGTTATTAGGCATACATGTCCCTAGTACCGTCGTCCAGGTGGACTTTAGCCCCAACGACAACAACACGATTTGTGCGAGTGGCGCCAGCACCATCAAATTCTTCAAATTGGTCGATGGTTCGTCGTTTTCGAGTCTGAAACGGGGTATAATTCGTTGGGTTTAGGGCAGTTGCGCCAACAAGTCAACTCACTCAAACGCGAGCCCGGCAACTTTCTGTGCCACACATGGCTGCCGGATGATCGTCTCGTAGCCGCCGCCCTCACGGGCGAGCTCTGGTAGACGAGTGCACATTGTCAGATCTTATCGTTGGTTCTTGGATTAGGTTATTTGAGAGCCTCGAATTTCGCATCGTCCTCAGCTCGTCGCCGTCCGACGGTCAATACATCTCGTCGCTCCTCGCGTACACCAAAGGTATGCTCCAAATTTGGTGTTTAAAGATCGGTGCGACAATATGTCATGGGACTAGGGTTTGTGGGGGGCGGCGCGGGGGGTGTCATTCGTATTTACGAGAAAAGTGACGACGTTCGCGAGCAGTACAAGCGCACCAAGAGCTTCACGATCGACGGGAGCTCGCAGATTGTTCAGAACCTTGCGATTTCGCCGAGCGAAGACATGCTCGTGTGCTCGCTCGAGAGCAACCAGCTGTACATGCTCACGCTGAGCTCGACAGATATTCTCAAGGAAGATGCGATGAACTTTGAGCTCGTCTCGACGCCGTTCCATCGACCGGGCGCCAACGGCTCGTCGCACATTACGGGGTATATGCTTCAATTGTGTGGTGCTAGATCATAATCATGGCGGTGACTAGGCTTGATGTGTGCATTCGCAAACCGCTCATTGTCACGTGCGGTGTCGACAAGTCTGTCCGCGTCTGGAACTACAGCGACAAGTCGACCGACATTTTCAAATTTTTCAAAGAAGAGGCGCTCGCGGTGGCGCTGCACCCGTCCGGTCTGCACGTTGTCGTCGCGTTCACTGACAAATTGCGCATGCTCAACATTCTCATGGACGACATTCGGCCGTACCGCGAATTCCGTACAGTTGCAATATCGGCTATCGGGTGGAGGACGCTCTTGTAATTTTTCATAGCGGTCAAGGCGTGCAAGGAAGTGCGGTTCAGCCACGGCGGGCAGTACTTTGCGGTCGCCAACAACAATACGATTCAAGTACGCCCTTCGGAAATGGAAACGAGGACACTATTGATGAAACGCGACTAGGTTTACGGCACGTACTCGGGCGAGCTCATGACGGTGCTGCGCGGCCACACCAACCAGGTCAACGCGATTGTATGGAAGCACGGCGACCGCAAGCTCGTGTCGTGCGGCTCGGACGGCTCGATCTTTCAGTGGGACGTGCGCAATGCAGTCAAAGTCGGTGACGGCCACACGCACCCGCGCTGCAACTACTCGGACATTGCGCTCGCCGCCGACTCGGCGCTCTTGTACGCGTCGGGCACGGACGGCACGCTCAAGGAGATTGACTTGGCGGCCGGCGCGCCGCGGATCGAGCACGCGGCTAACTGTCTTTACGGTATTTTGCTTTATTTCAATGTATACAATGGAGTGACGGAATGACGGACACTCGTTGCGTAGGACCGATCGCGATGACCACGTCCCAGCAGCTATTGTTTGTGGGTACGATCGAGCCGCGCCGACCCGGCAGCATCCGCATGTACAAGTTGCCGCTCGAGCCTGAAAGTCCGTATTTGGAGTACCAGTGCCACGACTTGCCGGTGGCGCGGCTGCGCTTGTCGCATGTAGACCCTATTCCCTCTCTAGAACATGTGGTGGAGCACGCCCCGTAGGACAACCAATATCTCTTTTCCGTCGGCGAAGATGGCTCGCTGTGTATTTTCGAAACCAAAGAATCGTCGCTCAACTCGAAACTCAAAGGTATGCGTTTGAGGACAAAAATATATCGACAATATTGTACTAGGCCGCAGCGAGCGCGATAATGTCATGCAATTTGCCGAAGAAATCCTCGTGACCAAGTCCGACTTGGAGGAGAAGAACCGCATCATGCAAGGTCGGATTGGCGTCCTCGTAGTGGCGAGAAAGAAATGCGGAAACGTAGAGCTCAAGGCCAAGGTCGACGAGCTCACGCTGCACAACGAGTACCAGCTGCGGCTCAAGGACATGAACTACAAGGAAAAAATCCAAGAAGTCAGGTACAACTGGCAAGCCGCGCTTTCAAAATCGACTTACGAAACTAGCGATAAATTCACATCCGAACTGACCCAAGACCGGCAGCGCTGCGGCGACCTCCAAGAGGACAAGCGCGAGATGGAGCTCGAGTACGAGACCAAATTCCACGAGCTCGACACCAACCACCAGCGCGAGATTGACGAAATGCGACGAACGTACGTCGATTTTCCACAAAAACACTGGAGAATGATATATTGTACTAGGTACGAAGCCAAAATCAAAGCCGAAGTTGAGCGCTACGAGGCACTGACGCAAGAGCGCGACGAAGAGAACGCGCGCTGGGAAGAAGAGAACCAGCTTTTGGTATCAACTTGAAACATTGCACCGTATTGAGAGCGCATCGTTAGGTCGAGAGCCATGCGCAGTTTTTGGCGGAAATGACCACCGAGTACGACCACAAGGTCGAGACAGAGCAAGTCAAGCAGACGCAGCTCGGCAGCGAGAAGGAGGAGATCATGAGCGAGTTCGACGACAGCAAGAAGCAGATCGAAGAGGACGCGGACCTCGAGATCGAAGAAGTCAAGGCCAAGTACGACGCCAAGTTTCTCGAAGAACGCGAGGCTACGCTCCGGCTCAAAGGTATAAATGCAACCCAATGCAATGTCAAAATTGTTGTTAGGCGAAAATGGCATTATGAAGAAGAAATTCACGGCGCTCCAAAAAGATATCGAGGACCAAAAAGAGGAAATTCGATCGCTGCAAGAGAAAGGCCGCGAGCTCTACGAAAACATCAAGGGCCTCGAAAAGGACATCCAGGGACACAAAAAAGAGATTCGCGAGCGCGAAGAGACGATTCAGGACAAGGAGAAGCGCATTTACGACCTCAAAAAGAAGAACCAGGAGCTCGAGAAGTTCAAATTTGTGCTCGATTACAAGATCAAGGAGCTCAAGCGCCAAATCGAGCCACGCGAAGTCGAGATCGCCGACATGAAGCTCCAGATCGAAGAAATGGACCAAGAGCTCGAGCACTACCACAAGTCGAACGCAGCGCTGGACTTGATGATTGGCGAGCTCACGCTCAAGATGGACGGCATGCAAAAGGACATCAACACGCAGCTCCTAGAGATCAAAACTGGGCGGTCGCTCATCAAGCAGTTCCAGTCCGACTTGCACGACGTTGCCCAGCTCCTTGACGCCAAGAAGGCGCTCAAAGCCAGTGTCATTGGTGCGCGCTTGCACCAAATCGAAGAGAGACATGACAATGTTGTAGGACTCTACAAAAAATACGAGCACGGCAAGGTGGTCGCCGACGTTGGCGGCGACCTCGACGCGCAGCAAGAGTACAACCGACAGCGCGAGTACCTCGAGAAGGAAGTCGAGAGCATGAAGAGCAAGCTCGTCAAAGGCATGAAGATGAACCACAACGAGATGATGCGACTGAAGCGGGAGAATGCGCTGCTGACAGGCCAGGTACACACTTGACGAGTGCACAGAGAAGACCGAGGATGTAGGTGAACGACCTTCGGCGCGAGTTTTACAGCGTCAAGGCAAGCCAAAGCGAAGTCAACAGCCTCCGGGCCAAGCAGCGAGACCGGCGCGTGCTCGATGAGCGCGACTCGGACCTCCGGCGCGAGTGCGACCTGCAAAAGGTTCCGTCCTCCGCATGCATACGACGCTTCATGCGTGCGTCCTATAGTCGCAGATCCAGCAGCTCAAGCAGCAGCATGCGGCGCTTGTCAAGGCGCTCGGCGGCAACCAAGGTAGCCTGCCATCGCTCGCACGGCGCAACACGGGCGGCCTCACGAGCAAGTTGCCGCCCATCGACGCCTAAGCGCTTTGGCAATGTAGTACGTTGCAGTGTATGTCGGTCGCCGTCCACGCAGCCTCCTTCCTGCCACCCTCGCATCGCATCCTTAAGCATCCATGGGCATCCACGCCGGGGAGGCTCGTCATGCGCGTCGGCTCCGGTCGAGGCTAGCCTGCCAGGGCCATCGCCACGGCCGGTCCATGGCGCCGCCCTCGCCACAGAGGAGCACTTGCGCCCTGTCTTGATCATGACACGGTCGAGGTCGAGGTTGGCGACATGGCGGTCAGCTGCCGCTTCAACGTCGGTGGCCGCAGTAATGCTATGGAATAAAATCCAGCACGAGAGTATACAAAAATCCAATGAGTTTAAAGCGTGGGGATTTGAAATACGGTGGGAGCTCGGAAGCCGCGCTCATTGGCTGAAATCCTAGCATAATGTGCGGGGATTGGCTATAAAGATGCAATTGCGTGCAGAACGCAAGGTGATTGGTGCATAATGAAGCCGACGCCTTCAGTCACCAATTTGCTGCGGAGGAGGGACGACGATGGCAACGACGATCGCGGTCGACGAGCTCAACCACAAGGTACTCGACGAGCAGATCACGCGCCTGCGCACCAACACGCCGGAGAAGGGCATGCTCTCGGAGGTCGAGGTCATCGACCTCTGCAAGAAGGCCAAGGAGATCCTCGGGAAGGAGTCGAACGTGCACGAGGTGCGCTGCCCCGTGACCATCTGCGGCGACATCCACGGCCAGTTCTACGACCTCATTGAGCTCTTCCGCATTGGCGGCCAATGCCCGGATACCAACTACCTCTTCATGGGCGACTACGTCGACCGCGGCTACTACTCGCTCGAGACCGTGACGCTGCTCGTGGCGCTCAAGGTACGTGTCCATCGACTTGGTCATGGCTTAGCCTCGCTTTAGGTGCGGTACCCGACGCGCGTGACGATCCTTCGCGGCAACCACGAGTCGCGCCAGGTCACGCAGGTCTACGGCTTTTACGACGAGTGTCTCCGCAAGTTTGGCACGGCCGCGGTCTGGCTCACCTTTATGGACCTCTTTGACTACCTCCCGATGACCGCGCTTGTCGAGAACAAGATCTTTTGCATGCACGGTGGCCTCTCGCCGTCGCTCGAGACGCTCGACCACGCCCGCGCCGTCGACCGCGTACGTCCTTCCCTCCCTTTCCGCATGCAGAAGTTGATCCTCCAATCTAGTTTCAAGAAGTGCCCCACGAAGGCCCCATGTGCGACCTCGTGTGGTCCGACCCGGACGAGCGCGGTGGCTGGGGCATCTCTGCCCGCGGTGCTGGCTACACGTTCGGCGCCGACATCACCGAGCAATTTACCCGCGCCAACGGCCTCAGGTAGACTCGTCAGTCGCCCGTCTTCCTCATATTACACGATGAGCGTAGCTTTGTCGCACGTGCCCACCAGCTTGTCATGGAGGGCTATCAGTGGATGCACCAGCGCGGCGTCGTCACGATCTTCTCGGCGCCCAACTACTGCTACCGCGTCGGCAACCAAGCCGTACGCCCTCTACTTCGTTCGCTTCGCCATCCTCCTCCTCATCGTCGTCGTAGGCGCTCATGGAAGTCGACGAGATGTTTGCGCAAACGTCGGGCGAGAAGGTCTACGACGCGTGCAAATTCATCCAGTTTGACCCGGCGCCGCGCAACTTTGCCGGCTCGTCCAAGCCGCGGGCGCCCGACTACTTTCTCTAAGTCGTCATACGAATGACGACGCTGGCTCCACTTGAGATGACACTAGATTATTATTCTGTAGCCAATATACATCTTTTGCGATAGGACATTATTTGGGAGTTTCATCGACTGCCCTTTCTTGGTCGTCGCATCCCGTTCTGGGACACGCCAACTTGATCACGTCACGCCATTGCCATTGCTCGTAGGAGACTCACCCGGTCGGTGCAACAGCTCGATACGAGCTTACTAGCTTCCTGCCGTGATCCTGGACTTCGTGGACTTTGCCATAGTACAGCTGTGCCGTAGCGACACCACGTCTTGGGTACCGAGAGTTCAATTCCCTCTAGTTGTTGCATAGAGAAAGCATTTTGTTGCTATTACCAAGAAAGTACTTAGAGCACGAGCATGCCGTCGCCGTACGAGTACCAGAGGTACTCCTTGTCCATGGCCTCCTTGTAGATCGTGTCAAGCAGCGCTTCTTGGGACCCGCAAAACGCCGCCGTTAGCGTCAGCACCGACGTCTTGGGGTAGTGGAAGTTGGTGAAGAGACCGTTGAGCACTTGGAAGGTGTAGGGCGGGTAGATGAAGATGCCGGACTCGCCTTCGAGCGGCGCGGTCGACGCGTCATCAAAGCCCGCGCCAATCGTCTCCAGCACGCGAGTGGCTGTCGTCCCAACCGCGATGACGCGCCGGCCCTCGGCGCGCGCTTTGCGGATCGCAGCCCGCGTCGCGCTGCTCACGTGGTAGCGCTCGCGGTCCATGCGGTGCTGCTCGACAAACTCGCTCGCAAAGCTGCGAAACGTGCCGTAGCCCACATGCAGCGTGACGCAGACGTGGTCGATGCCGGCGTCTGAGAGCTGCTGCAGCAAGGCCGGGTAAAAGTGCAAGCCGGCCGTCGGCGCCGCGATCGCGCCGGGCGTGTTGGCGACCGAGGTTTGGTACGCGGCTTCGTCCTCCTTGTCGGGCACACGGGCGACGTACGGCGGCAATGGCATCTCGCCGACGCGCGCGAGGTACGTGTGCAGCGGCTCGTGCGTCAGGCCAAAGAGCGTACCCGTGTGCACCTCGGGCACGCCGCCGACGAGCGTGTCCACGCGGAAGGTGAGGCCCTCGGGCAGCGACAGCGTCGTGCCAAGCGGCAACGGCGCGCTGAGCAGCACGTCCATCGATGTGTGCTCGGCGCGGAGCGGGTCGAGGAAGAGGAGGCTCACGCAGCCATCGATCGGCGTCGTCAAGCGCACCTGCGCCGGCACGACGCGCGTATCGTTGAGCACGAGGAGATCGCCGGGCGTGAGGAGTGACGGCAGCGCCTCGAACGTCGTGTGCTCGATGCCACGCGTGGCCTTGCGGTAGACGAGAAGCTTTTGCGAGCCAAAGGGCCGCGGGCGCTGCGCGATGCGGTCGGCCGGGATGACAAAGTCGTAGCTTGCGGCGGTCGCCATTGCTTTTCGAATGGCTACGTTGCACATCACCGCAGGTGGTGCTGTAGCGTCATCCGACGACCACTGTGGAACATGATAGGACATCGACGATGACAACGAGGAGATAGGGTCGCGGCGAGGGCTATGGACATACTTGGGTCGACCGCTGTACGACTCCTCGGTGGGCCGGGCTCGGCGAGCGCCGACGCCCCGCGCAGCAGTCCACACCGCGTCGTATCTTTTGCTCGATTTGGCTTATCTAAGATGCTCGCAATGTATTGCTCGTTAACTATTGGCCAATCCGTGGCCGGAAGCGCATTGCGGTGACCCAATCAAACGCCATGTGCAAAGGGCTAGGGTACGTCGTCCTTCAACAACGCATGGGTTACGGGAAGCCTAGTATTGGTGTCACTGCGTCGGCTCCTCCTTGCCAACACGCCCTCTACTGGAGCGCCGGTCGACGATTTCTCGATGGTGGCAGTCCCAGAGTTGGCGTCTTGATGACACCGTCCAGCCAGAGTTCGTTGTCAAATCGACGCATCGATGTAGCTTGCTGCAAGTGTAGCAACAAGAATCTCGCTGCCAAAAGCGGCGTAGACCTCACCGAAACGCCGAGGTCCTTGACCGCCGCCACGTAATGTCAGTCTGGTGCATGGCAACACGAGTGCCGTTGTGCTGTACCGTGCTGACGCTGTACGACGCACCCGCAGTCGTCTCGTAGACGTAGGCGATGACGCCATTCGATGTCGGTGGCCCATGCCAACTCGCTGCTTGGCTTGTGTCAGCACGACAAGACGGGACGCTACCCAGCGCATGACGGCCCGCAATCATTGATACATCGATATTGTTTCAAGTGCAAAAGTTGACATAACGTTAGTGCATACCTTTATGCACCACGAGGCCGCGCCGAGGCCATTGTCGATGGTGTGGTTTGGGACCGTCGAAGTTGCGCGGGAGCGGCGCTTTTTCACATTGCACCTGCCTTGAAATGGCGCTTGTAGAGATGAAGATTGGGCAGCCTTCAAAGGGCAGACGAGGCGCCGGTTCTTGCCGCCGCTGCGAGGCGCCACGCGCGCCTGCTTGCTGAGCCTGACAGCGTAGTCTTGGAGATAGTCGTGCGTGTGTCGAAGCTAACTCCATCCCAAGCCACAGCCCATGGCTTTTGACCCGATCGCTGCTCGCAGCCTTTTGTGCAAGTACACTCGTATCCGGCTGTTTTTTCCGGATCGTATTTTCCATTTTTTTACGGAAATACCGGTAGTTGATTCGACCTGTCCTGGTTCTGCGAACGAGACTGTAGAGCACGCAGTCAGTGGTCTTCCGACTCTATCATGCACACTATTATATATGAAT